GCGTCTCGCTTGATGCCATGTGCACGAATGATTTTAGCGGGGCTTTAATGCTATTTAGCCACTAGAATGATAATGATGAACATTGAACGTGATGCAGCAGAAGCAGCACCCTTGCAATAGGGCAATATACACACTCACACAGCCAAAGTTTGCTCTCTCAATCTCGCACCTCTCTCGAAAATTCAAATTTATTTTTGGTAAATCAATTTGTTCTTGTGCCAAAGTGAGGCGACGACGGAAGCATAAATCGCACTGGATGTACGATGTACGTCTGATGAAAAATTTACAGAGAGATATTTCATAGCGATTGTTTTGGTGTTTGCGAACGCGAGCACACACACACACATTCAGCAGAATGGGGAAATTAGATTTCGTATGTGTGAAAAATGATGCAAATACGGAAAATGCGTCAAGTTCAGAATGAAAATCTGTGCGTTCAGATTTTTTGTTGTTGTGCATTGCCTTCTGGAATCTGGTTGGAATTGTTTAGCTGTTCCGGAATCCAACGTACTCCGAACATTAAATCCATGCGTGTTTGTTGAACGCATTTTCATAAGTCCTGCTAAAAAATTTATGAACTAACATATAAACAAGTACGCTGTGAAGCCAATGCAAAACAATTGAATTCACTGTTTGACTTATTGTTTCGTGAGATACTTACATATATTTTAATTTGCCAGCTATACTTCGAAATATTCATGATATCATCAGAAAAAACCGAATAAAAATCCAATTCAAGTGTTTTTTTGTGTTTGTATTGTTATGCTTAACATCATTGCTAGCTCAAGTCTACTGGGTAAGCTGCGCTTTGAACAATTGCAAATATTTTAAAACTAGTCACTTACTGAATCTAATTTTCACATTTGACCATTCCGACTACTAACTACAAGTGCACTTCTCTCATCTCATGAGATGTTCAAACTGCAGAATTCAAGAGATTTGGTGTCTAAACTGAAATTAAACTGAAGATTACGTGTGTGTGTGATCGTCGATATTTGTTAGTCGATTTTTAGAAATTCCAAGTAATGTTGTGATGCATTTACTTCCATTCACCACGAACTGAACTCATGTTAACGAATTGTTTTCTTTTCAAAAGTAAGCGAAAAAATTCTTGACAGAAGCTTAAAAGCAAATACAGTCTGAGTACTTTGCAATGTCGTAAATTCATGTAAATAGTAACTGGTGGGTTTCTTAGAACGAACGGTTATCATCATTCAGACGGTTTGCACTCGGCCAATAATCGAGTGATCGGATTTTCAAAGCAAAATTTACTCTTGCCTAGGCTTCAATGAGTACAAAAAAAAATATGTCTCACCTGTTCAGAAGTAAAGAAATAATTCTCTGAACAGATTTGAAATTGTCTTCAGCGATATTTCAGTAGAAGAGCCAAAAATAGTGTTCAACAACTCTACTGAATTTGCTTCGAAAACAGCAAATTCTACGGATATACCCATTTAATCTGAGTTTTTGTTAAAACTTTCATCGTATTCTTTATTCCTTGCATTGATTTGGTTATTTTCGACATCATAACGATGTTCTCGAAGCAGCTTTGCTCCACTCAACGAGCATTAAGTTCATGCATGTTTATTGAACGCATTTTCATAAGTCTTGCTGAAAAATGTATGAACGAACACATAAACACATGCGTGATGGCTTCAATACGAGCATTGAGAACAACTGATTTCACTTGCGAAGCGTATCCATCGCCCGCTACGCGCTACGCATTATGTGTTTGGTGTGAATTTGTCGGCTCCAAATTTTTTGGTATATATTCGTCACATCATTCAGTCAAACCCAGAAAAAAATATCCATTTCAGCTGCATATTACTTTCGTTTATGGATGATTCGCGTTCTATGCACTCCGAATGAAACAAATCGACTGGATGAACGGAACGAGTGTACAAACAGTTGAGAGAAAATGTGTGTTATTGTAACACATAAATATCATGTTACGCAGTTGTTGTTTTTTTGGTTCATTCTCGTTGCTTTTTTTCGAGTGCATACATTTTTATTTCCCAGTTCAATGTTCCATTCATACATATTTCAGTATATACGCGTTTGCTTTGCAACATTTCGCATTCCAAGTGGTCGATGGTGTGAAAAGGACCGACACGAATTTAGCGCAGAAACACAATTTAGAAGAAACAAAGAGAGGAAAAAAAAGAACATACACAGTACGCACACTTGTCAGAAATGAATTGTAAATGTGGAGCGTTGCATGTGAGAATGGAATGGCAAAGGATCATTGATGATGTTGTGCGTAGCAATGCCAATCCAACGAAATCAAACAAACAGTGAACGGAACAGAACAAAAAATGAATAAAAAATATGTGTTAACACAACTCAAATAAAAAGCGTACAACATAAAGCTGATATGGCAGACTTATCGAAACGACAAAATATGAATAATATAACTCACACTGATTTAAAGCGATTGAAAACGAACAAAAAAAAAGAGAAGAGCGAAACCCGCTTGCATCACCGAAATGAATGAAAATCGATTGAACAACACGAATTCCGGATGAAAAGAGCAAATAAAATCAAAACAACTTTTTCATTTAATAATGTGTATTAAAAATCGAACGCGCCCCGATATGTGTATACACGCGCGCCAGAGAGTGCTTTTGTTCCATCACTTTTTGTGTCGGCCTTTCATCGAATCTTTAACAAGTTTCATAAAATGTCATTTTTATGTCAAGTCAAACGATTCGCAGTTTTTTTCCTCGGTCGTTTGTATTTATTTTATGTCACTGAAAATGGAGACTTTGTCAATTTATTTAGTAGCACTGGCCACTTTTTGCCATTCAGTCGGAAAAAACACGTTTTTACGTGTGGTAAAAGTTATTTTTAATGGATTGCTTCGATTATTATGCCATTCGTATTTGAAGTGTAATAAAATGCGCTTCACTCAAACCAATTTTTTATTTGTGCCGCAGCTCGCATTGAATTCCAAGTCAAGGGACACGTTCGATAACAGCCGATCAACATTTCGTTATAATTAAATTAATTGGATTTGTTATAAAATCCTTTGAAATGCATTTCCGCATTATGGATACGGAATTCCAATGACAACAACAAAAACTATAGACATATATAATAAATTCGAGTAGGTTTGAGTGTATCAGGCTCGGTATCAGGTGGTGTGTGCGCGTTCGCGTTCAAACGAACTTTTCTATTTTTGTAATGAAAACTATCGCCTTGGCACTTCATAAGGCTCTTTTTTGCGTTACAAGGCAAAACATATCGAAGGCAACTGCTGCATAAAAGTGGATGAAGCGGCGACAGAACTGACATGAAACATAAAATGTTGACGTGCATAGCATTGCGTTTGCAATTCCGACGTGTTGTTCACACTAATTTAGTTGTGCAAGTTTTACACGATGAATGCCTTCAATATGAAGTGCTGTTCGACGTTCGCGTCTCTCTGGCTCTCGTCTCTCTTGTTCATATGCTTTCACCTCTCATGTTGTTCGCTCTGCTGTTCACCGCAGAATTATTCAAAAATCCAGTGCGCCCTTTTACGAGCGAACGGTAATTATCTTGTTCGTTGCCATTTTTATTTATTTTAATAGTCATTACTACATTTGTTATGTTAGGTCGATGCTTTTCTTCTGCATCGTTCTTTTTCTCGGTCGCTTTGGTGTTGTTGTTGCACAACTTGGTCGCCAGACATTCGCGTTCACAAAACACACACACAAATGGTTGTTCTCACATCGTCTTGTGCACGACAAGGAATTTCGATGTTCTTTAGTGTGAATTTATGAAGTTTCCGATAAGTGCTGTGCGTGGACGAGTCAATAATAATAATAACATCCTCCAGTACGTTTAGCTCGATCTACATTGTCGCCTTTGTTCTTCCGTTTTTCTCTTTGCCGTGCAACTTTCGTAAAGTGGTTTTGGTGCAGCAATAACATAGCTGAGCAAATATCTAGCGGCGGCACAACATTTACAATGTGAAACATTTTAAAGGTTGGTTAAAGTGATGATTGATTTTTCTTTCCTTAGCTATTTTTACGACGGGCTCTTTTTTACGATCTGCAAATATGGTTGTTTTTATTTAATTTTGTTACCTAGACAGGAACTAGGTAAATTGAATTGCCCCTTTGGAGTGGAAATGGTGGAAGGACCTGCGATTCGAAGTTGAAATGATAAACAACAACAACAAAGTATGTTCGTTTGCCGAAAGTGTGAAACCAAATTGACGTTTACACAAAAGTGATATAAATGGGAAATATTGGCAAATCATTTGAAATCAGCCAATTGCAATTTAACTGGTTGTTAACAAAAATCGATATAACAAAAAATTCCTGGGTGATATTATATCAAAGGGAGAAAAGCAGTCGAGAGCCAGACGGTATCACCTATTTTTCGTTTGATACATTGCGTTTTTTTCATGAGCATCCGAAACATTCGTGCGAGTACAGGGAAGAAATGTTGAAACTACACCTCGATGGTAGTATATGGAATACATTTGTGGCACATCCATAATTCCACTCACCGCATCCGGTTTTCACTCAAAATTTGCTGCAGACGAAAGATCGAAAAACACTCAAATGCATCACGCACGGACCGCAGGGGAAGTGCTGCATGCGCAAATACGTTGAACGTATTTAGAGGCGATAGCGAGCGAATTGTACCGGCTTTATGGACTATCGCAGCATATAGACGGATAATGTGCAACAGACAGACATCGAACGAGCGCGCGACATATCAAATCCATAGCAGCAGCAAGGTAGCCACACGAATGCATGGCGAAAAAAGGATGAAGTTGGGCAATTCGAGAATGCAACTGTCGCAATGTTTCGATCCGCAAATTGTGTTTCGTTCGAGCGTGTATGCGTCGGAGCCGCAACGATTTTGAGCGGTTTTTTTTCTTCGTTGGAGTGTTGTCGCGTGCACGGATAGCGTTGATTTTAGCCGTATACACGTCGAATGCGATCAACACCGATTATGCTTTCCATTCCGAATGTTTTGCAGACTGAATGAATGCTATTGGCTTTAGTGTTTTTCGTAACGTTGCCCAAAGAGGACGCGTTTAATTTCCATTACAACGTGTATGTTATCGCTTCAAAATACGCGCCCACTGGCAAAATACGAATCAACGTAACAAAATCGTATAGGATAACCGAAAATATTTAACGATAATTACGTGAAAAATCAGCAAATCCACAAAGAACGAAGTGACAGTGGAAAAGAGTTTTGATTCAAACAGATAAGAAAAAAAAACCTTAGAACGAAACAAGAACCAAAATTGACAAAGAAAAAAAAATGTAAAAGAATAAAACAAACTGCCCAATCAGACAATTTTGATTAGTGTAGATTTTATGTCTGAAATCGTGCGTGATAAATTTGAAAATTAGTTCGATTTATGGGTGTTCATTGTGGGAGAAGAGAACCAAAGCAATTTCAGTTATTTATGATTTAGTTTTTGCACGGTTGCCATCGTGTCAGTTGCCGATCGTCGACGGTGAACAACAGAAAAAAAACACAGTGATTTTCTTGATATTTTTCTCTGTGTAAGAAAAAACAAAACATAACAACTCACTTGTGCAAAGAGCAAAAATCGAATCAGTAAATCGCAACCAAATCAACAGCAAATACATACCAGCCACAAATTCCACGGATCAAATCACGCAACACAGCAAATATATTTTTTTTCTTGTTGCTGTTTATTTATGAATTTTTTTTTGCCGTTGATTCCATTTTTTTATTCGTCGTCGTTGCACCGAACGACCATCGATTCTGCTCCCATTTGAAGACACAAATCGCGCAGGATATATACATTCTTACGTTATCCGTTTGGAATTTCATTCTCGGTGTGTTTTGTTAACCGTTTTATTTATTCTATGTTTGCGTTTACCATTCTGTATACACACATATCGAATGGACTGTGCTAAAGAAATCGAGTACAATCGAAGAGCCAATATCCAATCAATACAATTACGGAGGAAAAGAAATCAGTTTTTCGTTTGATTTTGTGTTTGTGTGTGTGTGTTTATGATATCGATGGAAGAAAAATAGCCGAAAGTGAGTGAAGTTATTTTTTAATTCAATCCAAAATCGACAACAGCACCAAAAGAAAATAAACTACACGAATCAACAACAGTAAACGCAATTTTTCGTCGTATGCCCTTTCTCTTGAGAATTCTCCACTCAGTGAAGTAAAACGGTTCAGGTGCAAGTTGTGTGTCATTTTATTGTTTCGATTTTTTGAAGAATTAAATCATTGTGAACAAAGAAACAAATTGAAACGCGATTAGTTGGAAAAATAAAAGCATTTGATTTATTTTCGGTGTGCCCATCGCGCTGGATTACGTTCATCAGTTTATCATTTCTGAGTTTAAGTTTGTTTTGTTTCGAATTATTCTCTTTTTTTTCTTCGCTTTTGCCTACGTTTCATTATGAAAAATTTGATTGGTATCATAAAAATTGAAAAAAGCGATCTAAAGAGCGAAGAAAACGAATGAAAATAAAAGAAGAAGTTGATTTCGATTCATTTTAATTGGGAGATAAAAAGTAAAACGACCAAATTTGGTATTGTGTGAACATATATAGCCGAGAAGAAGAAAAAAAATTTCGTGTGATTTTCGAACAAAACCAACAGTGAAAGAGAATAAGAATAACAAAAACCGAAAAAAAACCTACAACATCATCGATCGAGTGTGTTTGAATGTAAGTGGAGTTGTTCAAAACTTATATTTTTCTTTTTAGTGCATGCCGTAGTGAATTTTTTTCGGTTTTTTCTGTCTGTATCGTCGTGTTGTGACATTTATTTAGTTTTATTTTTGTTGTGTCCAGCCATTTAATTTAAAATACGGCGGCGTCCACATGAGGACGCCCAGAAAACATAGCTATCGAATAAAACAGCAAGTGCAATTTTGTAAAATAAATATAGAGCTGAAACAAAATGAGAAGAAAAAAAAAGAACGAAAGGCACAGCACGAATAAATGCAAAAATGAATAATAAACTATTTGGCTGAAGCGAAAGAATAACAAAAAAAAAATAGTGGGACACAGTCAGTGGCATTTCTGATCTACATGTGCAATCCCATTTTAAATGTTTGTTTATTTTTCGTTAATGTTGCTGTTCGATTTTATTGACGAGGCGGTGGTGGTGGCGGTGGCAATGGCTGCCCCGGTCTCATTGCAATGCATTGCGGTACGAAACAGACAAACACTTAGCATTTCTCGAACCAAAAGCAGAAAAAAACATAAATCCAGCTTACAAAAAAATTTATTTATTATATTTCATTGTGTTGCGATCAAATCTGTGAATGTTCGATTTTATGCCTATCGCTTTGCTTCGATCACATTGAATGTATACATAAATCAAAAACGGACACGAAGAGCGAGCGAGAGAGCGGGAGAGGAAAAGAGCATAAAATATTATTCATGGCAATAACGAATCAATCGCGATACCTGGAGTGTTGGAGCTATTTAAAGCATTTACAACATGCTCAGCGCGCGCATTCGCGTTCGCTTCAAACCACAAAATAGAACAATGGGCTTTCGAGCGATTTAATTATCATCTAAACAAACTGTGCGGTGCTGAAACAAAAAAAAAACCATTTTCTGTTCGAAATTCATTTCGCTCCTTTTGGATGTTTGTTGATTTTTCATTTATGTAATGTCGTTAAAGTGAAACGAACGCAACGCCACAAAAAAATGCTGCATATTTAATAACGAATTTTTTTTGGTTCTGAAAATTTTATGTGAGTAAGTTTCGAGTGATGGTAGCCGCATAGATTTCAATGCCCTGCATGAAATTCGGCATCGGCTATATTCCAGTATCCCGCTGGCACAGATTCAGCCTTTTTTTTCTCTGCAGAAGCCAATGTATGCTCGGCTACGCAATTTAATCAACCAACCCCATATTTTGCATGCAAACACATTGCACAACAACACATAGCACAGCGACACTCGACGCAACTGAAACGAAAAACTAAGGCACAGATCATTCTCTCACAGCTCAAATGATAAAATGCCATCAATATTGCTGCGTGCAATAAAAATCACAGCCAGTGTTTATCCAACAACGAAGACAAGTGAAAATTATCGTTGCACGCAATGACATTTACTGACGCACAGACACAAAACCCACCGCCTGACGAATGGCCGTATATTGTTAATGTGCGCTTCGTATGCGAGATTCTCTAAGCACGTGAAAAATATTCTAATAAAATATTTTTTGAAATTAATTCCATAAATCGTTCCGAACGCGTTGAGAAAATAGAGCAATATATGTAATGTGAATGTTTCGATGGATGGCGCAAAAGTTATGACGATATCAAACTGTGTCATAATTACGTTTAATTTCAATGTCGATTTCGTTGTAATAATTCAACATTCGACCGTATTTGAAAGTGTGAGCGGTAAGCGTAGGTAACGTCTGCCGTAGAAACGTGGATGAACTGTTCCAAGTAAAGTAGCTGAACTGTGTTCATTGGCGCACGTTTTCGCGGTAAACGCACCATGGTTGCCAGGCATCAAGTCTAAATCCTGATTATTTCCATCTGATATTCGATTCAGATTTCAAATCTTTGCCATTCTCGCTTTGCTTCGCATGAAAGAAACAAAAAGAGAGAAAAAAATCAGTTGAAGCGCAAAATTGATCGATTGCTGATACCGCGAATCGGAAAATACACAACTCGCTCGTCTTGCACCAAATGATGCCATTTACATGCATTAAACTCGTGAAAGTGCCTTGCTAATGAAAATATTACATCAGGGATTAATTACGTTTTAATTAATATTTTCCAGCGAAAAATGCCAGAGTTGTCGACTTTAACTTTAGCCATGCACCCAATTTCGATTTTACCATCGAATACAAACGGAGTATAAATTCACTTGCTCAGCGGCGACGACGACGGCAAAGTTGAATGAAAATCCGTAAAACTTTGTTTCGATAATGCTGAGTAAATTGTTGCCTTTCGTGCTATAATGCTTCGTTTATTCTAATTTTTTGTTTCATTCACCCTCTTTTTGTCTCTCTCTCTCCCGATCGCTCGCCCGCTCGTTTTCACGTATACGCGCTCGAGTTCCCCTCGCATTCAATGCATGCATGTTGTTGTTTTTTTCTCTGTTTCAACTTTTCGTTTTAATTCCTTTGCCATTGTTGTCAATGTTTGTCTTAACTTCACGAAAAATAATCATTCTTAATTAAATGTAATTCGATGTTGGCTGTTTTCAACAACGAGCGGCGCACTTAATGTGCACACAGCAAAAATGGGAACACACACACACACCGAAATTCTGTCGCCGTTGCTTTGTGCCGTTGCTCACACAAAATAGAGCCGAGCATTTGATGCGGTAATGGATTTTAATTAAAACGTTTCAACGATCTCAGATTATTATTATTTGAGCCAAGTGAAAACCAAAGCGAATGTGAAAATTGTGTGTGTATATGGCACGTGGATCGACGTGGTTTGAAAGTGTACCGTACTCAAGAGTTTTGGCATTTTACCTTCTTTTTTTTTTCTTTCGCGAGCATTTCTCTCGTTGCACCGTTCTAAGAAATGACAAAATTTGCTGTCATGACCATTCAATGCGTTTTAAACCGAACATTTCATTTTGCTTTGGTCAAAACGAGGTCAGAAAAAAAAAACGAAACTCAAGTGAAATGCTTGAAAATGTTTCGCTCTAGAAAAACCGAAATTGGCAAAACAGTTTTGCTTTCATTTGAACGTCGTCATCGCATTTTTCGTCAATCGAAACCTAATAAAATGCGACAAAAAAGAAATAAAACAAAATAGTAAAGTCATTATTTTTTTTCTTGGTGTTCTCTCTTCTGGTGAACGCTTCAGTGGGCTTCATTAAATGTTCAAATAAAAAACTGAAACGATCTGATCGAGCAATGAAATCGAATACAGAGTATTTCGAATTGGAAATCATCAAGAAATATAACGAAAGAAAAGACCAGGCAATCGAGAGCGACCAAGAGAGAGAGAGAGAATCGTTTCGAAAATCGATGAAAAACCTGGAATGCGATGCATGCAATTAAGTTTCAAGCGTCTCGTCACTGAAGTGGTAGTGATGGTGGTACAGAAAAACGGACTCAAGTTTTTAAATTGAAATTGTGCGGTTTTATCGCCCGCTTAAAACGATTGAACACCGAACGATTCCCTCGGTTCAAAGGCCCAGCAAAACGGAAAAAAACCCGAATATTATCGCTTTTTGCCGCGTTTGAATATTACTTGTTTGCATTCGAAATTAAACGACAGCGAAGAGCATTGAACACACACACAACAAAAAATCTACTCATTTCGAAACAATACGAGAAAAAACGAAACAAATTAACTTTGGTTGTCTTTGTTCGTTGAAAATTTATTCGTTATCCAGAGTGTGTGGCTGTGCTGCCGTATTTTTTTTTTATTTATCATAATCAACGCTCGCTGGTCGCTCAGAGATGCGTTTTTTTATTCGTTTTCGTTTTTCACTCGTGTTCATCTTCAATTTTATTCAAGACGTCTTCCTTCCCGTTCTCACTCAGCTCACAAACAATTAAACACGCCAAAAAAAAGCAATAAAGCTGAAAGAAATGTATAAAACGGCGCACCACTAGTTCTGGTACTTGAATCGCGTGCGACGCATGTATTTTTCTCCATCCTCTACGTGTTCTCACTCACTTGCGCTGGATATTTATTTCCAAAGTGTTTTGCTTCAATTTTTACTTTTTGTTTCTCTTCATTCATTTCTCGTTTGGGTCTTTCGAATTTTTTGTTTTTTTTTTCTCTGTAATTCTTGTTGCTGATCATTCCGGGCAGTCAAAGTTCTTTCGACTAATGAGCTGACACTGTCAAAATCGATGCCTAGCCATCTCGTAGAGTCAGCCGAGGTGAACGCGCATTTCAAGATACGAATCAAGTTTCTCGCCAATGGAACAAAAAAAAAGAAGAAAAATATGCGCTCAGTTGTGTGCATTCACATTAAATCGCCTCTGTGCAGTGTTACGCTGCTGCTGCTGCTTTTGTTGCTGTTGCTGCATGGTGCGATGTTGATTGTCTTCAGTTATGTTCTTTTACACGTATTTCGTTTGGATGGTGTTTCGGACCATTGGTCGCGTTGCACACCACTCCGTCGATCTCGGACGGATCTGTCGCTTTGGAAAATTAAATTGATATTTATGATTCGTTTTGTTTTCCCAGTCGCGCTCACTTTGTTTATTTATTTACATTTACCTGTTTTATTTTCGCCTTTTTTTCTCTCTGTTCTTGCTTATTGATTTGGCCGGAGCGAATAACCACAACAACAAAAAAAGATATTCTCTTCATCTCTCAATTACGGCGCACGAACAAACATCAAGCAATTGCATTCATTTTTACTGCTTTGTTTTTGCTGGATTTGATCTCTTTGATGCTCAAACAGACGATGGAAAAAAAGGCAACACAAAGAGAAACGCAACGGTAACAACAACAAAAAAGACGAAAAAGAACAAAGGAAGAAAAAACAGCACAGATTTGATATTTAAAGAGGGAAAAATGTGTTTGAATGGTTGTAAATTCATTTTGTTTGCCTATTTCTTGTGTTCAATGCTTATCGCATAATAAGTTACACATAATTGCTTTAAAGTCTGTGTTTGCCAAGGGAATTACGTGTTTTTGTTTCAGTCGATTTTCTTTTTTCTTTTCGAAATCTCATTTTGCCTTTTCGGCGTCACAAAATGATTGACACTG